CGTCCCCGCGCCGTTTGCTGCCGAGCTGCAGCCCTCACAGAGCTCCAGTGCTAGGGGCCTGCCGTGCGAGCTGTAGGCACGTTCACAGAAGGGTACCTTAGTATATATATGCTAATATAGATGTTTGTAAGATTTTTGTTTGTTTGGGGTTTTAAAAATTTTATTTAATAAATTTATTTAAGCCCCCTCCGTCAGCCCACATTTTGGGTTTGGCTGAGTTAAAAAAATGAGCCGATAGCCCACGGTAGCGCTGGGCTTGCAGTCAGACCCGGAGGAGGAGGTTTGCTATCTGAGCTCCAGGAGCCTGTCTGTACGGATCCAGTTTCAGGTTTACTGTTGGGGTTTGGAAACTATTTCCCTGCATGTGCTTTTGGCCGTGAACCGGCCAGTCCGGGGCTGTAGGCACCCCTCAGACAACCAGGGCTCGGGGGAGACATTTGTGTTTGTCGTGGTGAGCACTCAGCTAGTGGAGTGTTCCTGCTCAGTTAAACAAAACAAAGATGGCCAGGCTTCCAGCTGGAGGTGGAAGTTTGAGTCATGGAGCCTTCCATAGACTCAGCCGTGAGGGGTTTCATCTTTTAACAGCACGGCCTCCATCCCAAGTGCTGGCTAAGGTTGCTACCCTGGCTTCCCAAAGGTCCAAGTGTAGCTGCCCTGGATGGGGCAGGGCAGAACAGAAGGGCTCTGGAGAGGTGAGGAGAAGCCCCACAAACACCCACATCTGCTTTGTTCACACAGCCGCCTTCCGCTTTCGGTTTGTGTGACTCACGGTTCAGATGACTGGGGGAAAGTGATCCGTGTAGTAACTCCTGGACCGTGCAGATGGCAAGTCCAAACACATGATCCTGCAGAACTTCCAGCTTCTTTCCAAAGCCAACCTCATTCCTAATGCTTTCAACATATGTAAGGCTTAAAGGGGGCTGTCATGTGGGAGTTCATACGTTACATCTTATCTGGGATGAAGCTTCTTCAAGGTAGGTTGCCCCATATCATAGCTGTAAGCATTAAGCACAATTTACTCACTGGATTGTGTTATGGGAAATCTCAAACAAACTACCTGAAAGTATTTGTGTTGAATAAAGGTGACACAACTGTGACAGATACTTACCATACCAGAATTTTTGTATAATGACACTTTCCCACATGCAGCTATGAGCACACTACTGCAAGAGCTTGGACTTGACGAGTAAATCTGCAAGAACAGAATTGTGCAGAATGCCATTGAAATCCATGGAATCCAGCTTGAAAGGAGGCAACAATGGGCACAGAGGAAACAGCAAAGTCAACAAGATTTAAACCAATGTTAGAACCAATGAAGGTTATTGAACATTTTTAGAGTGAAAAGTAATCAAAAAATACTTGGAAATCTTAGAAGAGAAAGGAGGGATTTTGTTTTGGGTGGGCTGGCAGAATATTCTCATTCAGTTTCCAGCATAAGCATTTCAACACTGTTAAACTGTAAATGAAAACTAAGAATTTATATATATTTGGGGGGGAAGGGCAGAGGACAGATTGGGAAACCTGCAAAACATAGTAAGTACATAGTGACAAAGTGTCACATTTCATTGTTTATTTTAAAACATACTTTAAAATACTTATTACCATAACAACAGAAAATCCCCCAACATTTGGTCAGTAGGAGAATAGCAATGTTTTCTTAAAGCTGTGGTTGTTTTTTTTAGGATTGAATGCTGAAGGATTCAGCAGGATATATGGTGATCCATAGCTCACACTGGCTTCAGCAGGTGGGAACCAAAGAAGTTTCTGTGCTTGGCTGCTCATAGCATCCTTTCACATGTGCCACACTTTGTCAGCCTCAGAGACCTGCTGCACAAGTACAATTCATGAGCACAGTGAACCATAATGAGATGACAAAAAAATTGTGAAATGCCTTCTATTTTCTACATCTCACCCTCTCCTTAAATTCCTTTGCTTCTTGGCATGGAGGGCACCATTATTCATGTCTGAGAATGTAGCAGCCCAATTGTTTGTTTGGTAAAAAATTTACCTAAGGAATCTTTTCTTCAGTCTGTCCCCTTGACTTTACTAACAAAAACCCCACAACCCCTGTCCCCTGAAGAAGAAGAAGAAACAAACAAAAGAAAAAAAAAAAAAACCATGAAAAACCAACCAAACAAACAAAACAACCAAAAAACCAAAAAGGAATTTTATGGGTAGCAGTTGCAGTACCACCTTGCATCCATCCTTTATGATTTGTCCAAATTCTACATCCCCATTGTATTTTCCCCCTTTCTCTCCTCCTCTTGCACTGGACACCAGTGATGCTTTAATTCAAATCAGGTGGTTTCCAATTGGCATAGTGGTAGTTCTGTATTTGTTCCTGCGAGTCTGAGCTTGCAGAATCGATGCATAATTCCAGCCTGAGTGCACTGCCACTGGTTATTTTGAGAAGAGATGTCTGTCAAGTGTCCTGAGGAACCCTCTGCGTTGCAGGCTGTGTGGCACAGATGCAGCATCTGGCTGAGAGGAGGAGAGCTGCCCCTTGCTGCACATGTGGGAGAGCTCAGAAGCCGGGCAGGCTCTTATGAGAAGAGCCCACCAAATGTGGGAAAGGGGAAAGGAGCTTTCAGGACTGGGAGCTTTCCCTTGCTGTTGCTGAGCTGGAATCACCGGGACCCACCCAGTGTAATAGGTTGCCTTGCAGTGATTCCAAGGCTGGGCCTTGCTGGGTGGGGCTTCCAGACGGCGCTGGTGACAGGGTGGCTGGGGCAGTGTGGCACTGCAGCACTCCAGAGCATCCCGCATCTCATCCCCTGCTGGCCGTGGGGCGGCTTTGTTCAGAGTGCCCCATTGATGCAGTGTGGACATGCAGATAATGTGAGCCAAAGCACCCGTGGAGAGAATTACTGCAGAGGAAGTAATGGCACTGACAATTTGCACCCTAGTTTATTTCATGTTAGTTTCTCCAACAATAATCACCTCCTGCACCTTCTAATTCCCCCAACATTTTTTCAGCTTGTTCTTTTTCAGGGGAGCCTTATTTTTCTGCAAAGCCATCGAGACCCACCTGCTGAATGAAGTAGCTGGCACACACATTTAACCAAATGGGAAATGTACTCATCTCGTTTTTCCTGTGATAGAAGCCTGTCTCAAGGAGAGCTGTACTGTAGGAAAAAAGGCCTGGGGAAAGAAGAAAAAAAAAAGCAAAGCCCAAACCCCAAACTGAAAAATACACCTATATTTTTCATTTAAACATTTTTATTGGCACCTCTACTGAAGCAGAATGTTCCTAACAACAAACCCATTCATACTGTGCAGATTCACTTTTATAGGAATTGTTTGCATTGTCTCTTGAAGAAATGCACTAATAATACATTGGATATGTGCCTAAATTGTACAATATAGCATGGATGGTGTCAGAGCATTGCAGAAGGCTTTGTGGTTTTTCTGTGCAGGATTTTAATTTGCAGAATATTGCTATTAAACTTCTGTATATCTGTAGAGGTGACTTTGAGTGGCACTGATTTAACAATATTCACTGAGGCAGGAACATTCCAACCCTTCTAGATAATGGTGCACTTTAAACCACCTGGGAGGTCCCTTCCCTTTTCCCTTCCTTTGGAAAATCCTTTGCAGTAGATTTCACTGAGTCCTCCATCTAATAAATTTTGCTTTCATTCTGTTTTTTTCTGAAATTCTGCATCAAATACCTTAACTCACCAGCTGGATTCTTGCTGCTCAGAATCAGACATACTAAAATATATATTTAAAAATCCACCTCCTGATTCCCAATTTAAGACTCAGAAGACTTGCTGGATTTCTCAAGTGTAACAATATGTCTGGCAGTTACAATTGCACAGGACTCTTACGGTGCTTCTCCCTCCAAAATCTGGAAAGATATTTGGGGTGTGACTTGACAGTTAGCCAGTGAAAACTGCCTGGAATAGTCAGGGGTCAGAGACAGTGAGATTTCACCAGGGAATGTTTGTGCAGGAAACACACAAACGTGAGGGAAGCGAGGCAGTGCCCATAGCAGCACAGCTTGCTTTGCTTTCATGGGCCTATTTAGAACAGGGAATATTTTTAGCCAATATAATTGTACTAATGCATAATCATCATAACTTGCAAAGAGGAAGATTGCATATGTATTCCCAGAATGGTTTAGGACAACAAACGAACCAAAAAACAAACCCAGCAGTGACTGTCATCTCATCAGGTTCAGTTCAGTGAAATATATAAGCTGCAGAATGTTCATGTTCTCTAGTATTCTAAAATGACAGATTTGTTCATGGTCCTTAGCTCAACAGAGTGAGTGTGCTGTGCTGCAATGTTCTGTTTCTTGTATTGGTTAGCATCAGCCTTACACCAAAGTATGAAAGATTTCAAATTTATAATTCTCATTATTTGCCAGAAGAGCTTTTCTTTCTCCTAACCACTGCCAGCTCATGTTTGAGTTAACTTAAAGCATGTCCATAATTTGTAATTTTTATTGTTGCTAGAATTTCTATTTTCTACGTTAATGTCTGATTTTGACAGCTTTTAGGCCCTCTAGTAACACATTTTAGTGAGTTCTGCAGTTCAATTGTATGATGTTTAAGAAGTAATAATTCTTGTATCAGTTTTAGGATGTATTGGCTTGATTCCATTGTAATGTGCCTGCCTAAGTGGTTTTGTGGCAATCATCTTCTATATGAAATACTTATCGTATTCAGAAACACCTACTGCAGCTGAACACAAAGTACAGTAGATTGAGTTGGAAGAGCATCTGAATGTCCTATAGCTGCATTGCATTACTCCTTTAAAAATATGTATTATTGATGAACTGAAAGCATGGATGGGAAATTACTGTTACTGAAATGCTGCACATGATTGTACCAAACTAATTTTGTATTTTCTTTTTCAGTGCAGAAGATGCTGTGTCATGGTTTGTGTGTGAAAAACCAGTAGGAATACACCACAGAACATTTATATACATTTATCTGCTTGTAGCAAAGGGCTTTTGTTGGATGTAAAAAGCTGCTCCTTGCTCTTTTACTTTTCCATGGGCAGAAACACAGAATGGCTTCTGACAATTTAAGGTAATATTCAGGCATAATAGTTATCAGTGGTTGCCATTAATATGATTCCTATTAGTGAAAAAAAGAGAGCATTCATTCTCTGTTATATTTCTGTAAGGACCACATTTGCTGATATTTAGGGATCAAAGATCCACTTGAGCTAGAAAAAGGATGAGGAAAAGCTACTTTGCCTTTTCAGTTCTTAGGAGGAAGCAAAAACACAGGGAAATCAGGCAAATAGTTATAAATCCAGGTTAACCTTTGGAAGGCAGTGAAGTCCTTCTGTTTTCCCTTGTTACCCATTGGAAAAGTTCAAAACCTTTTTTTAATTAAAAAAAGATGATTATTTGTATGCATGAGCATGTTATTACTAACCTGTATTTTTAAATAGGTGCAAGAATGTTAAACCATTAGATTACAACAAACAACATTTCCATTGTTTGATCTATGGTTCCCTTTATTAAATCCAGTCTACTAAGAGTATGTTAAAATTGTTTTGCATTTCTGTAGATTAATTTTAAATTGTCATTCTTTAGTCCCTGAAATCCATTTAAAGTGAGTGCAACTGCTCAAGTGCAGATGTAATTTTTTTCCTATTTTGGTGAAACCTCTTTTGTTTTTAAAGAAATTGCATAAAGGAGATATTTTAGGAAGAGAGGTGGGAGAAGAGAACCAGAGCCACTACCAGAACATGACCTAAATCAGGACAAACATTGGAAGATTGCCAGATATTAAAAAAAAAAGGCTGGATCTGGCTCTGAAAGTAGTCAGCTTCTATCAAGCAGTAGGTATTTCTGGCTTCATGTGGCATGGGTTTATGTCATACAGAAAAGCTGGTCCACAGGAGGGCCACTAAAGTGATCAGATGGCTGGAGCACCTCTCCTGTGAGAAAAGGCTGAGAGAGTTGAGGTTGTTCATCCTGAAGAAGAGAACACTTTGGGGAGGACTTAATGTGGCTTTTCAGCACTTGAAGAGCACTTTTAAGAAAGATGGGGACAGACTTTTTAATAGGGCCTGTAGCAATAGGATAAGGGACAATGGTTTTAAACCAAAAGAGGGTAGATTCAGGCTAGGTAAGAGGAAGAATTTCTTTACAACGTGGTGTAAAACAGTGGCACAGATTGCCCAGAGGGGTGGTGGATGCTCCATCCCTGGAAATACTCAAGGTCAGGTTGGACAAGGCCCTGAGCAACCTCATTGAGTTGAAGATGTCCCTGCTCATTGCAGGGGGTAGGACTGGATGAGCTTTAAAGGTCCCTTCCAACCCAAAGTATTCTATGATTCTATGAAAGTGTTAAATGTGTTCTGTGGATTGAAAATAATTAATTCTCTGGGGTAATACAAGCCATTTCAGCACCATAGAATTATTTCCTCTTAGCCAGCTTCACAAGTTTAATGAACAGGAAATTGACAATCATTAACAAAAGGTAAAAATTATTTCAGAAATGTACTTGAATAGCATGGTCCCATTTCTCTAGAATCTCTTCTGTGAAATTTTGAGTAAAATTGGAATGTCTGAAAAAAAGGGTTCTGAAAGCCTATTGTAATCCATTGTAGTTCTTTTGCAAGTTTCTGAGCTTGTTTGGCTTTGCAGCCTCACATGGAGCTGTGGGAATCACTGTATTCTGGTGGGGGATCAATCTCAAGAAGAGCTGCAAGGTGAATATGGGGTATGGGGGAGTTCAGTTGTATGTGTGCTTATTGTAAAATCCAGCTGGAGCAATTTTCTCCTTGGTAAAAAGGAAGTGGGTTTGTCTCTGATTTTTTCTGGTCATTTGTTTAAGGTGAGGGTGCTTGTTTGCTTTGGGTTTTGCTGAGTTTTTTGTTGTTGGTTTTTGTTTCTTTTTTAAAGTAGAAGCAGTATAAATAAGCAAAATTTAATCCTAGGAAGTTATTCTGCTTAACATACATGATTTTCTGAAATTATACTAATTTTGCAAAGCTTTCAGGCTTAGCATTTACATGCTGTGTGTCTGAAGGAGAAGTCCCACATGCAGTGAATCTGAGTTAACTCCTCTGCCCAAAGACACATTTGTTTCACATGTAAATAGCTGGATCCCTAGACTGAGATGATATTGGTCTGAATTTACAAAAGTTTGTACAGGGTAAGTTCTACAGATAATTTCTGGCTTAAATGTTATTCAGATACTGTAAGAGCTGACCCTCCTGGGATTGAAGTACTGGAGAGACATAAACCCCACTCCTGAGCAAACCAAAAGCTTTAATTCCTTCTACAAACTCCTACTATTGTATTTTAGCAATGGAACTCTAAAGGACACTAAAGGACATAACCACTGACTTAAGGTCAGTTTTATCAGGGATTTATTTCACTCAGTATTTTATCCATGTTGTACACTTTATTGACTCATTTATTGAATGCAGCAGCTCTCAGAGAGTTAGCTGAGAGCACAGCTATTGGGTGCTGGCTTCATGTCCTGATAATTTATCTGGTTCCATTAGTAAATAACAGGTTTGTCATGGTTGTTTCCTAAACAACTGCTAGAAAAGCTTACAAAAAGGAGGAGTCAGTAATTTCAATTTAAAGCTTGCTCTGATTAGAGGAGACAGTTTGGTTTGTCCATCTTTGCAGGTCAGAAGCTGCATTAGAAACCTCACAAACTCCTATAAGGGGTTAAAATACCTAGAGAAGGCAAGACAGATACAAATAATGTTTTAAAACTATGGCCAATGGGTATTTCCATCCTCAGTTAGTTTGGTGAAAGCTTTCTGGGGTTCTCTACACTTGTCCTTCTCTTCCTTGGCTCTGATTTTCTTAAATAATAAATACATTCTTAGTCAGCTCCCCATTCATCTTGCTCCCAGCAACCATATGGTAAATATACTCACATTATGTCCTTCACTAAACAGATATAGAACCATGCTAGCAGTGTAACAAACACTAAAAGCACGAGGATGAGGATGTGTCAGCAGGAGAACACGCTGGAAGATGAGTCCAAACACACACAGTTTATGGATTAATTGAAACTACAACCTGGACACTCTCAGCCAGGAGTCTTAAATTAAATTATTAAAGCACTTCTGAGAAAATTACAAAAACAGTTAAACCAAATTAATTTTGAGCAGTAAGAACATCTAGAATATAGCCCAGTTTGAGTGGTCATTAAAAAGATAATTAAAATAACTTTTGCTGTGTATACCCACACAGAAACAACAGAGGACTTAAGCAGAGCAGTTCACCTCATACAGATAAATAAGGACTAAAGCTGTCTGCCTTTAAAGTGAAGCAAAACAAGAACTGTATTCAATCTTCATAAAACTCTCATCCTTTTACAATACTCTAGGCTGTGTATCTCAGTTTCACTTTTCACAAAATCTGGTAGCAACAGATGTAGTCACACCAGCTGACAGGCTGAGGAGGAACTTGTACAAAGCTAGATTGTATTGTGGAAGGAAATTATCCATTCTCCTATCTGGGCCCAACCAACACCACCCTTGCCCTGTTTAGCACACAGCTGCACCTCCAGGTGAGGAACTGCCAAGAGGGTCACCCGCAGGGAACGTGCTTGCTTTGAGAGGAGTACACGTGACTGACAGTTGTTTTGCACTGGGAGCTGTGAGCAGCAGCAGGAACAGGCAGGGCAAGGAAAGGTGCCGAGAGCAGTTACACTCCATGTTCATTGACTGGAGGGAGCTCTGGGTGCAGAGGGCTCCCTTCTAACAGTTTTTGCTGTATTGTGTTCACAAAAGCTGCAAAGCCATCGAAGCCAAGTCATGGAAGACAGATTTTATCTGTAACAAGCTTCATCCTGCCCAAGTTGTATCATGAACTTCTACAGAAACATCAGATAGAATACAGGCAAAAACCCAACACACCTGGGCAGGTATTTTACCCTACTAGCAGCTACATTTTGGATACTTCAGGGGTCCTTTTTCTCTTCTTATTAAAGTTGCCTAAACCCTCTGTACTTTACCTTTGAGTGTAATCTTATCTAGTTCAGTGACAGTGGAACAGGAAATTTAACTTTATAATTGCTGGAGATAGTTGTCACTCTTCAAAGGAAATAAGAACAAAAAGTCTTTTAATCAATATTCACGCCAGTGACTGCCCAGATCTGCAGAAATTCTGGGTAAGACACAGCATTTGGAGAGTTGCTATTTGTGTTGCTGATATGTTAAATTCAGTAGTGACTTCCTCCACTCTGATAGTGGTCTCTTTCCACAAATCTTTGAAGGACAGGAGGGTTTCAAAAGTTGCAAGTCTGTATCAAGACCAAGAATATTTCAACAGAAAACACATTCTAGTTGATATGGAAAAATTTGATCAGTTAATTACTGCTTCTCTATTCCAACTGCTATTTCATTGATTCTCATGGTTTAGGCAGAAAGAATCTAAGAGAAGTCTTCAGGCTTCTTTTAGAAAATGCAGAACATCACCATGGTATTTATGTTTACAGATGTGAAAATCTTTGTAAATATTACTGAGCAACATTAATTGTTTTTTTGGGATTTAGCCAACTAACAAGGAAAAAAAATACAAAAGAAACCCCAACAAAACATTTCAGCATTTATACTCTAGGCCAGCAAGGCCTCAGAAACAGTGAACCTCAGGATTCAAAAGAGGGATTTGCAGCTTGAAACTTTACTGGGAAATAAACAAACAAAACTGATGTCACAAGTTTCACTTCTCAGGCTTGCTAGAGCTGATCTTAAAAGGGCTGGCACTTATGTTTTAAACCATTTGATCTTTTACAAGATACAAAATTGTCGCTTCTGTTGTCCCCTCTAAGACCTGCTGCCACTGAGCTTTTGAAAGGAAATCACTACTAATGCAGCTGGTGCTGCCTGGAGAAAAAGAACTGCAAACACTGTTGGCCCCTTTTGATGTCAGTCAGTGATCTGGCCTCACGTGATGCCAGCTCCTCTGTGTGGTGTTACAACCTGTCACAGATAACAGCCTGAATTACCTGTAATCTAAAAAATTATGGTCAGTCTACTGTAATAGTGATTCTTGCTTTTAAGGTGTGTGTTCTGAGAGGGAGAATTCAGAGGACAACATCTTGTCTCACAGGACAACAAACACAGAGAGTGGGATGGATATTTCCTGCTCACAGTGAGAGTACAACACATGCTTTACCTCAGTTTTAAGCATGGTTACTTAGAAAAAGAGTAGACAAATTTATAGATAAAATGATACAGAATAATCTTGCACCAAAATGTCTTTTTTATTATTATTTTATTACTGAGTTGCAGGATTTATGCAGAATACTAAGTTTTGTTACTAAGTTTTGAAAGGAATTTTAGAAATAGTCAGTGAAAGCAAGGTTTGTAGTTTGAGTGGTAAAAAAGGAAGAGGATAAGGCTACCTAAAACACTGCACAAACTGATGTCTAATTGAAGAAGGAGTGCCATTACTGCCTGGCTTGCAATGCTGTGAGAATTTATGGTACATTTAGCTTGATAACCTTTGCTATTAGGCCAGAATAAAACCTGTTTTGTGATAC